GCAAGTGATCAATTGATAGTAGATTCTGAACTTTAATACATTTATATTTACTGTCAGTCTGCAAATACAAACACCCCTCCCCCCTCCCTAAATTTTTAACAATTTTAAGAAAAATGGAGAAAAAAGAAAAATTATTATTTTCAAAGTCATAAAGTGCCATTTCCGGTCATCAGAGCTGCCATAATCATAAATTTTCTCACCTCAGTCCCACCACAGTACAAACCCAAAACCTGTGAAATTCTCTACCTGGGCCTCCTCTCTTTCAAATTTCTGGACCCGCCATTGTAAACTTGTTTACTCACAACGCATTAGTTAGGCCCTATCTCACAAATTTGTTTTCTTTTATATAAGAGACAGCCTGTAAAATATCGTGGAAAAATATTAAAAATATGAATTTATAAAACCAGCTGACCCTGATTTCCCGATAGGTTGGGCTTGGGCAATACGATTTGTTTTTAGGCCTATGATATTGCATGACGGGTGATCATCTATGCACTGATGAATTTTTTGCGTTAAACTTCGTCCATCTTAAAGCAGACAGTGGTGGCGACAGTGGACTACTGTACTTGTATGGGCATAATTTTGCGAAGTCAAGCTTCGCATCATCGAGCCATGATCGAGCGAAGTCTTAGCCTACCCAGTGGAGGTTTAGTACACGTTAACTGAACAAGTATTTATATTTTGTATTTGCAGACTGACAGTAAATGTAATGTATTAAAAATATCAGAATGTACTTTGTCAAATTAATCGCTTGTTTTATTTTTGCATTGATTCAAATAAAAGGCCCATACAAGGGTTGACACGACGATTTTTACATGTCCCTCGTCCCATACAGTGGTGGCGCTACTGGGGATTTCTTTCCCTCTCGCCCAGTTTGCCCCCCCCCCACCCCACCACCAGAAAAGAAGAAAAATCTTATTTGGTCGAGGAGGAAAATAAATTATATGTAACTTCAACATATTAGTAGACTATTAATATGTAAAATCGATTAAATAAGCCTCTGAAACCCCTACCATACACATTTTTAGTGATATCTGATTTTTCTATATTTGGGCATTCCGAGATGTCATATCACACCCAAATATGGGTATGATGATATCATTGATACCCATATAAGGGCAAATCACAGGTATATGTCTGTCTCTTATACACATCTAGATGTGTATAAGAGACAGCCCTCAGATTCAGACGCTACCGCCTCCACTGGTCCCATATATCGGGCTGACATAGAATTGAAAATAACGCATGCACAAACTATGTTGTATGAGGAGGGCTATGAATAATGCATCAGATATTGCTTCACCATCCTACGAAAAATTACATGCAGCAGAGCGATCGTCAGCTTCCAGGTCATCAGATTAGATCAAATGTTATAAATTAGTAATAAACGCCGCTAAACCCTGCAAAGGTCCATTAAGTTTCTCTTATGATTAAATACCTGTGTCATCATTGATCACAAACAATTGAGATGTTGTGGTATGCGTGCTCTCATAATGATTTGCAACAAATAGAAACATCCGGCCATTGATGTTGAACGCATTCATACCCTTCACGTTCATCGTACTCGATAGGGATACGAAGTACTCGTATAAGCCAGTATCCCTATTGTATTTATAAACTTTTGTCAACGCACCATCACGGCTAAAAGATAAAATATGTAATGAGTTATTTACAAAACAATCATTACTATGTATCGTAAAAGAAATGCAGACTATATTTTATTATAGAACGATTTAATATATGTTGGCAATTGGCATCCCACAACAGGCGGTGACGGAATGGAAAACGTCCCCTTGCCTCTCTAGCTGGCTATACACGAATAAAAGAACGAGAACAATAATTTGCAGAATACGTACTATGCTCCTATCACCAAGTAATGAACATTCATGTAATCGAAGCCAATACTGCATTGTGATGCATCTCCGATAATGGTCTGCACAAGTACTGGTTCATGTATGAATTCTTTAAAACAGAAGAAAAAAATTAATATTTTATAAATTTATGTATTATTTAGGCGTACATTCATTTCATTTATTCTGTCACTTTATAAAGTAGGCCTAAATTTTTTTTTTAATATTACAAACACACCATCATGGAAAGGTGAAGGCATATAAAATTAAAGAAGTCGTTAAAAAGATGATTCTAATATAAGTTCATGTATACTACAGCAGAATTATTCCTCTAAAAATAAACATCACCACTCTCAAGTGTCATACAGAAACATAATTTACAGAGTATCGTTCCATCCTAAAAATTGGCATGTGTGCGACTGATAGTCTAGAATCAAATATATAAATGTACACTGTCTGCAAAAAAAAAAAAATAGGTGCGAATCTAACTCCACTCCATGTGAACGCTCGATCATGCAACGCCCTCTGCTGATTGTTGCCAGTGTTCGTCTGAACAGATCGTCATTAAAAACGATCAGTTGCGCGTGCGTCGTCGCGATGCGTTCTTCATAGAATAGCGTCGGCCGACGAGCGTCGGACACAGGAGTGAGTGCCCGACTTTAGGGTCTATGTAACAGACGACACCACGGTATGATATAACTGTCGGTTAATAGATGTTTTTAATTGTAAGTTACAATATACAAACAATTAAAATGTGGAGTGGAGTTTAATTTATAATTGTTTAGCTCATATCAGACAGTGCCTCTTTAAAGACAACCACAAATCTACAAATGCATCACAATATTCACTATATTTAAAAAAAAATGTTATTCATAGGTCTAAAATGTAATAATTGTAGACTAAAGCCAGCCCGATCACTCAATGCGCCTGATGATAGTCGGTCGAAGCAATTCTATGGGGAACATAATGTCACAACGCGCGTGCATCGGATTGTTAATTACGATCAGTTCAGACTGCCATCAACAATCAACACACCGCGTCGCGTCGTCTGCGCTCACAAGGAGCGGAGTTGAATTCGTCATACGACAGTCGTACGACGTGCAGTGAGTGCCCGGCGTTACATACCATCCTGGCAATATTGACCATGGTAGAGTTCGGTGCAGGCGCAAAAATATCCACTTTGTGAACAGTCATTTTGACAAGATCCACCATTGTGACACTGATAGCCCTGGGTACACCGACCAACATAACTCTTCAATCAAAACCAAAATTCATAGTATTATTTACAGTCCCCTACCCAACTAAATACTCTCTGCTCCACTATGCACATAACACCTCACCTAGTTCTGTTGCCTCTACACATCTAAATATACAGCATTTCTTTTAAATGATATTACCTGCATAGCGTTTTCTGCAATATTCTGCATATCGTAAAACCATACACCTGGTGCAGGTGTTAACGATGTGTCAGCTGATTCGCTGTCATATTCATAAAGTTTGCACGATGATGAACTAACTTCATAGGAGAATGCCAAACAGGATGGATTCTTTCGACATGTTTGCACACATGTGTACTTGGAGGTGCCTTCAATGGTCTCAATTGGATTCTCCATAGTTGTATTTACACGTCCGTAAAAATGAGCTGTGGCGGTTGTTCCTAGATCCTTGATGTCGCATGCTGTGTAACCGGCAACCAAATTGACTACCGTGAAGAATATTATCCCTCTAAATAACATGTTCGCTGTGATGCAGATAAAATATATCTATTTAACTATATAAATATCAGTCAACTTGCTGTGCCGACGGACAAGCAATATGGTATGATTAAAATTTCTAATGACAAGTGCGGCGTATATCAAAGAATCAATAAGTCAATGCTAGAAGCAATCAACTAATTTACGTCCACAATGTGAATATATATAATTATCACTATAATTATCTATTATTATTAACATTGTTGAAGTATTTTCTTATAATTATGTAATTTATATACTTTTGATGTAATTTCAGATGTTTGGTGTTTTTTTTTAATATGCCGTATCAGGCTCAGTTGGTTTTCTTCTTAAATATCTATCTAGACAGTTCATATGTAATCTAAACTGCTTTTCTCAATATTATAATTAAGAATTTTTGGCAGAGTTCTTTATTTAAAGGGTAATTTGTCTTTCATTTAATTGCAAAAGTTTTTCTAAAATTTATTATAGTTTACAGTGGCGGATTCAAGGGGGACCCAGCCGGCCTGCCCCCCCCCCCAACACACATTTTTTTTCAAAATTAAAACATAAATTGAGGAAAAAAGAAGACTACTCGAATTTTGAGTCTGAGAGTGCCATCTGAAGGTACCTCAGCCCCAAAACTATGGTGAGCTGAGGTAGGTAGCATAGACCTTATATCTGTGAAAGTGAACCCTTTCTCAGTACTCACATCCTCGCAATTTTTTGCGAGTATTAATAATACTGATAATTGTCAATATGTAATTCGAACGACAATAGTGATGCGTACCTTAATCAATTAGTAGGTCAATGATATAGAATCAATAAACTACGTCTACATAATATTGTGTGAATATTCTATACTTATCACCATTATCAATCGGTCAGTCGGCGTACACTGAATTAAGCAAGTCAATATTATTATTATTATTATTATTATTATTATTATTATAGTCCAGCTTTTTGAATGGGGGTGGGGTGCGTTTTGCGAGCGCAGTGAGCAACCAGGCTGGGGGCCAGGTGGCCGCCCAGTGCCCCCGGTCGGGGTGCAGGGGCCGAAGGCCCCGGAAAAATTTGCTTTCTTACGTCCTATTAGACTAATTTGAAGGCATTTTATCATGTTAATCTCTATATGTCCGTGAACACAGCGATAGGGCCTATCAAAAAATTACCAGTGGAGGACATGGAGAAACAAGTAAATTGTTTCCCAAATGAAAAATACTACTGTATAAATTCGTAACCATTACGAATAAAAATTTAAAATAAATTCTGCTTTTAAATGAATAATAGCAAAGTTTTATATAAAGAGTGGATTAAAAGCGACTGTAAATGAGATGATTCAAACAACTAGAAGCATTTGAAACAAATTAATCAACATTTTTATTCTTGGCATCGACAGAAAACAGAGGTATAAGCATAATTATAATGTATGTATACGCTATCTATCCATTTAACCCGTGACGGGGTATAAAAGGATCATCATGATACGACTAAATTGCGCGTGTGGAGTCAGCGCTCTAGTATTCTTATTGTAACTCATTTTACATTTATACAATCTTAATACTGTACTGTTATGTGATTCATTTTATAATGATTCTGGGAACAAGGGCACATTTTTTTGGTTATAATTAGTGGACGTTTTTTGATTTGGGAGTGGGGGGAGGTGCGTACGCACCCAACGCACCCCCCCCCCC